ATGCCTCTTTATGCATATATGTCATAAGTTTTTTTTTTACTGCTTTTCCTAAATTTCGGTACATATTATAGAATTGTATGTAAGATTTTAGACTTCCATTTAAGCACTGTGAATGTGATTTCTTAAGAGATACGTTTTTATGAAGAGAATTTCTATTGCTTTTTGAAATGTGCCTTGCACTAATGAATCTTGTAATGTCAAAAGATTTAGAGCTAAAAGGAATACCAGTACTGCATATGGTCAACTACAGACTTCCCGGTGGTACACAGTCAAAAAGTCAAATGCTATAGCTGGACTAACTGGTACCAGATTTGCAAAGTGATGATAATATTAAAAGATTCATTTCAGATTTTTTATTTGCAATGACAGCACAATACAAAGTCAGTAGTTCTTGATTTTCTTGCCATATTATTTCCAGTGACCACTGATGCTAATGTGGAACACTTCCTGCTAGTTATTCATTGATTAAAAAAAGAGTCATTTTTTTCCAGAGACTGGGCAGGAGATAAGATTTCAAGAAGTAATAAGTAGTGAAATGAAAGAGGAGAATGCAAAGGAGCCAAAAGAGAAAACATGAAAATGATGTTATTTTTTCCCCCTTGTGTATGCAGATGGACAGGAAAATTATAGCAGTAATTGCAGACTCCTTTTCACTGAAGACAGAATGGCCTTGGGGAATCAGAGCATGGGAGAAAAAGTTCAGTGAAACTGCACTCTCATCCAGGCCCCACATGACTTGCTGAATATGGCTTTGTCCAAGGTCATTTACTCTTTCTGTGCCTTAGTTTCCTTAAATGTTGAAAAACATTATTTGTCTTTTTAAGTTACTGAGAAGATGAATGAGATCATGCTTGAGAAACACCCAAAACTGGTCACAAAAAGGTGCTATAAGAATACTAAGTAGTACTATTATTATTGAACTGTGCATCCTGTTGGAATGAGTCATCTTGCTGCAAAGATACATAAGTGATTCCAAGTGTGGTAAAAGACCAGAGACAATGAGAAGAGGCAGTTACTCTTAGATGGCGTTAAGGGAGAAGATCTCAGTCGAAGTGAAATCTGCCCTGTTCAAAGAACAAAAGCAGGAGGGAGGGAGACAAGACTTATTTTTTTTTTTTTTTTTTTTTGAGACGGAGTTTCGCTGTTATTGCCCAGACTGGAGTGCAATGGCACGATCTCGGCTTACCGCAAGCTCCACCTCCTGGGTTCAAGCAATTCTCCTGCCTCAGTCTCCCGGGTAGCTGGGACTACAGGCATGCACCATTATGCTCAGCTAATTTTTGTATTTTTAGTAGAGACGAGGTCTCACCTTGTTGACCAGGATGGTCTCGATCTCTTGACCTCGTGATCCACCCGCCTCGGCCTCCCAAAGTGCTGGGATTACAGGCGTGAGCCACCGCGCCCGGCCCAAGACTTATTTTTTAACTACAGGCATACCTAGGAGATACTGCTGGCTCATTTCCAGGCCACCACAATAAAGTGAACGTAGCAATAAAGTGAGTCACACAAATTTTTTGGTTTCCTAGTGTATGTATTGGTTATATTTACACTATACTGTAATCCATTAAGGGTGCACTAGCATTATAGCTAAAAAATGTACATACCTTAATTTAAAAAATTATTTAGTCGGGCACAGTGGCTCACACCTGTAATCCTAGCACTTTGGGAGGCCAAGGCAGGTGGATCACCTGAGATCAGGAGTTCGAGATCAGCCTGGCCAACATGGTGAAACCCTGTCTCTAATAAAAATACAAAACTTAGCTGGGCATGGTGGCATTCGCTTGTAATTCCAGCTAATCAAGAGGTTGAGATAGGAGAACTGCTTAAACCCTGGAGAAGGAGGTTACAGTGAGCCAAGATCGTGCCACTGTACTCCAACCTGGGCAACTAAGCGAGACTCCATCTCAAAAAAAAAACTTTAATGGTAAAAAATGCTATTGATCATCTCAGTCTCCAGTGAGTCCTAATCTTTTTGCTGGTGGATCTTGCCTCATTGTTGTTGATGGCTGCTGACCAGTCAGGCTAGTGTTGATGGAGGTAAGAGTGGTTGTTGCAGTTTCTTAAAGGCAATAATGAAGTTTGCTGCATTGATTGATCCTTCCTTTCATGAAAGATTTCTCTGTAACATGTGATACTGTTTGATAACATTTTACACACAGTATACTTCTTTAAATTGGAATTAATCCTTTCAAATCCTGCCACTGCTTTATCAACTAAATTTATATAATATTCTAAACCATTTGTTGTCATTTCAACAATGTTCACAGTATCTTTACCAGGAGTAGATTCCATCTCAAGAAATCACTTTCTTTGCTCATCCATAAGAAGCAATTCCTTCAAATTTTACCATGAGATTGTGGCAATTCAGCCCCATCAGGCTCTACTTATAATTCTAGTTCTCTTGCTATTTCCACATTTTTAGTTACTGCCTCCACTGAAGTCTTGAACACCTCATCCATGAGAGTTGGAATCAACTTCTTCCAAACTCCTGATAATGTTGATCTTTTGGCTTCCTCCCTTAAGTCACAAATGTCCTTGATGGTATCTAGAATGATGAAGCTTTTCAATATACTTTTTCCAGATCCATCCAAAGACCCACTATCTATGGCAGCTATAGGCTTATGAAATGTACTTTCTACATAATAAGACTTGAAAGTCACAATGACTCCTTGATCCATGAACTGCAGAATGGATGTTGGGTTAGCAGGCATGAAAACAACATTAATCTCCTTGTATGTCTCCAGGAGAGCTCTTGGGTAAACAGGTGCACTGTCAATGAACAGAAATGTTTTGAAAGGAATCACTTTTTTTAAATTTTTGAGCAGTAGGTCTCAACAGTAGACTTAAAATGTTCAGTAAGCCACGACAGATGTGCTGTCATCTTTGCTTTGTTGTTCCATTTATAGAGCACAGGAAGAGTATGGTTAGTATAATTTTTCAGGGCCTTAGAATTTTTGGAATGGTCAATGAGAACTGGCTTCAACCTACAGTCACCAGCTCCATTATCTCCTAACAAAAGAGTCAGCCTTCCCTTTGAAGCTTTGAATCCAGACATTGACTTTTCCTCTCTAGCAATTAAAGAAAGTCCTAGATGGCATCTTCTTCCAATAGCAGGCTGTTTTGTCTACACTGAAAATGTTTAGTGTAGCCACCTTTAATGATCTTAACTAGATTTTCTGGATAACTTGCTGCAGCTTCTACATCATTATTTGCTGCTTCATCTTGTACTAGTGGGTGATGGAGATGGTATCTTTCCTTAAATCTCTGCTAGCTTCATTCTTTTCTTCTGCAGCTTCCTCAGCTCTCTCAACCTTCATAAGATTGAAAAGAGTTAGAGCCTTGCTCTGGATTAGGCTTTGGCTAAAGGGAATGCGTGGCTGGGTTGATTTTCTCCCCAGACTACTAAAATTTTCTCCCTATCTGCAATAAGGCTGTTTTGTTTTCTTACAACTAGTGTATTCACTGGAATAGCATTTTCAATTTCCTTCAAGAACTTTTCCTTTGCATTCCCAACTTGTCTAATTATTTGACAGGAGGCAGAGCTTTTGGCCTCTCTTGGCTGTTGACACATCTAAGTTTTATCGTTTTTAGCTTTGATTTAAAGTAAGAGACATGCAACTCTTCCTTTCACTTGGTCACTTAGAGGGCATTGAAGGGTTACTGGTTAACCTAATTTCAATATTGTTGCATCTCAGGGAATATGGAGGCCCACGATGAAGGAAAGAGAGGAACAGCTGGACGGTGGAACAGTCAGAACACATGCATTTATTAAGTTCCCTGTCTTACATGGGCTCAGTTCATGGTGCCCTCAAAACAATTCCAACAGTAACATCAAGGATCACTGATTACAGATCACTATAACAGGTACAATAATGAAAAAGTTTGAAAGATTCCAAGAATTACCAAAATGTGCCACAGCTCATGTAATCAGCTGTTGAAAAACGCTGCTGACAGACTAGTTTAATGCAGAGTTGCCACAGACCTTCAATTTGTAAAAAATGAAATATCTGCAAACAGCAATAAAGTGAATTGCAATAAAATAAAATAGGCTTGTACAGCAAAGCGGTTATACAAATAGACTTGAAATCCTACAGTCAGTTTGAATCCAGGCTTTGGCAGCTATCATTACGACTGGGCAAACTACTGTGTTTTTAAAGTTCATTTTTCCTATCTGTAAAATGGGGATTTTTATAGATTGTATACACACACACACACACACACACACACACACACACAAAGGGTTGTTGTGGGGATTTAAAAATGTACACCGCCACAAGGACTCAGTAAAATAAGCTATTATTGTGATCTATTGGAGACGGGGAAGTAAAAATCCACACTGATATTAAACGAATCTTTAAAAACAAATACAAGAAAAAGAGTTTATAAGATATGACTTAAGGGGCCTAAGAAGAGAAAAAACTTGTTTTGTCAAGTCTAAATCCACTCGTATTTCGTGGGGCCCGTATGTAGTTCAACCTTTGATATCTGGCGCACAACAAACAAACAGGAAAAGCCTTTCGTGTTCTGTAATAAAAACAGCTTTCCATTTTAAAACGATAAATATATTTGAAAAATCAGTTGGCTCTCCAACAGCTCTTACAAAACAAAGCTCAGACGCTGTGTTTTTGTCGTTTGGAAGAGAGAAGTCCGGGGCGCGGGGATGACTCGCTCCCTTTGAATCGCGCCCTGGGATGGCAAGCCTTCGGGCGAAGCCCTGGGGGCAGAACGCGGTTTTTTTTTTTTTTAATCGATCCCGGAACCTTAGGGCGGCGGAGGGGGCGGGCAGGCGGGAGGGGCCAGAGGGAGGGGTCTAGCCGTGGGGCGCGGCGTCGCGCGCCCATCCCCCGAGCGCGCGGCGGGGCGGCAGTCCGGCGGCCGCGGGGATGCGGAGGGGCGGCGACGGGGGCCGGACCCTGCCCGGGCGGCGGGGAGGGCGCCGCCCGAGGGGGTAGGGCGCGCACGGGGGCGCGCCGGGCCGGAGAGGCGCGCTCCGGCCGCGCTCGCTCCGCGCTCCCTTCGCTTCCTTCGCTCGCTCGTTCCCTCCTCCCTCGGCAGCCGCGGCGGCAGCAGAAGGCGGCGGCGGCGGCGGCTGGGGATAGACATGGCGGCGGATCTGAACCTGGAGTGGATCTGCTCCCTGCCCCGGTCCTGGACTTACGGGATCACCAGGGGCGGCCGAGTCTTCTTCATCAAGTAAAGAGCCGGGAACGGCGCGGGGGCCCCACGGGGGCGGGAGGGCAGGGGGCGGGCGGCTGGCGAGACTGCGGAGAGCCCGGGTCTGTGCCCCTGCAGCCCCTCGGCTCGTCCCCGCGTCCCCTCTCACGCTCGGTGTCTGCCCCTTCTCTCACCCCTGCAGCGAGGAGGCCAAGAGCACCACCTGGCTGCACCCCGTCACCGGCGAGGCCGTGGTCACCGGACACCGGCGGCAGAGCACAGGTAACGCCGGGCCCAAGTGGAGTTGGGCTCCGCCTGGAGGAGGCGGCAGAGCCTGGGCCGCCCGGCTCCCGGCCACCTGCCCCAAGCCGCGGGCCCCGGGAGGCGGCGAGGCGGGGCGGGGCTGGGCGGGGAGGCGGCCGCAGGTAGAGGGGCCGCGGGGGCTCTTCCGCTGGGAGTTCTCTCGAGTCTCCCGGCGTCTCTTTCTCCTCAGCCTTTCATCAGCACTTGGAGACGGCGCCCTCTTCCTGCGCCCTCTCCCCCATCCCAACCTAAACTACCCCCGCGCCCCAGAGTGGCGACGCTCCCCTACCTGAAACCTGGACTCCTCTGAGTTTTTCCTCCGCGGACTCTCCTCACCCCCGGGTGACCCCCTGCTGCAGTCTTGGCCCCCAGCAACCTTTAGGAAGTCCTTACCCACTCTCCTTAAAGCCCCTGACCCTGCTCGCCAGCCGGGATAACATAACCACATCCTCCCCCTCCTCCCGGGAGCGCTGCCTCCTGTCGTGCAGCTTCCGCCTCCTCCTAGGTGGGAGTTGTGGGTAGGTGGATGATGAAGGAGGAGGAGAGGAGTTCGGGGGTGCTGTGATGGTCTCTGACGGGGAACGGCTTGGGAAACGCATGGCGCGTTCCCTCCTGCCACAGTAGGAGCAGCCGGAGCCGGAGGAGGCAGGCGTTCGCAGCCTCTGTAGCTGGCGATCCTGATTCAAAGTCCCCAGCAGCCGCATGGAGATTGCACAGACTGCCTGGAGGCGGTGGGCGTGCGAGGGGGTGTCCCGTGTGTGGGCACACAGGCCCGGTTTGGAGGGGGTCCATGGGGAAGCGGCTCTGTCGGGTGGCTTTGGGAGCTTGTTTGAATGCTTAAGTGTGAGTGGCGCTGGAAAAAAGGCTCATCGTAGTTTCTGTGCTGGTCTGGGTTTCTTTTGTCATTCTTTGTTTACATTCGCAAAACTTGTTTGTCTTTGAAATGTAACATGTGTTCTCTTACCGGCCTGCCTCTACTCCTGGTGATTGGAAAGGCAGAGAGCAGTTTGGGTCCAAGGCGAGGCCAGTTTCAGCAGTCCTCAGAGCTGGCCTCTGGGGTGCATTCTCTCCGACTCTGACATTCCCTGAATCTGTTAGTTGCCAGGATATTGAACAAACCTGCCTCTCTGTTAAAAATGCTGGAGTTCACTGAAGTGACTAATGTCTCCAAATTTGCAAAAAGGTGGAGGAGGAAAGAAAAGGCTGGTGTAGCAAGCATGATGAGGTTACATTTTTAAGGCATTTCTGACTAATACACCATCATGTTTCTCAATTCCCCGGTGCGGGCTTTTGCTTCAATATACCTTTCTGGTGTTTTACATGCATATTCCAACTTTGATGACCTCTTTGCTTTTATGGGTAATAACAGATTGATTTCATAAAAGAGGGTATGGTATTTAAGTTAGTTAGGTTAATTAAACTATGGAGTTATGTGTGATACAAATATTTGTCCTAGTTACCCCCACAGATTTGATAACGTGCCACAGAAAAATTTTTCTATCTTACGTGATTTCATATTTTTTTTTCCTGGTTTGGTTTACTTTGCTTGGACTCTATGGTTTTGTATACATATCAGTTGTTTTTCTTTCCACAAGGTATTTTGATGAAATCCAAACAACTTGTCATTAATAAGTCATATGTAACACATAATAATACCATTATTCACCTGAATCATTCCCAGCGTTACTACCTGAAACTTAACGTCTCGTAGTCAAATTTTTAGAAACACACACGGAAATATTCCATGACATTTCTTTTCACTAATTAAGTACCTAGGAAGTTCTCCCTTCTCTTCAGTGACACTTCCTAGATGAATTCATTTGTGTAGCTGAAAATACGGTCTTAAGTAGACACCATATACCCAAGAAGAGGGAGGCGTTGCCTGTTATACACAGTTTTGGTTTTTTGCTAGTCATTCATGGGTGTTTCACCCAGGATTAGGAGGCTTCCCTTTGCTTTCTTGGGTGCCAGAACATAGTTCCTCTCCACCCTAATACGTTACAGTGTGTACTGAGGTCAGATCATCTCTAATATTGTGGATACTTTTCTGGTGTCTTTAAATTTGAATTGCCATTTTTCAAAAAATGATATCTGCTATTGTACTGTCAACACTTTTTTTTGTTAGAAATCTACTTAATCATGAAAATGAATAAAATGGATTGAGACTTATTTTGCTATCATTGAAGTAATACTAATTGTAATATATGTATTGTTTTAGATTTGCCTACTGGCTGGGAAGAAGCATATACCTTTGAAGGTGCAAGATACTATATAAAGTGAGTTTTTTGACTTTCATTTTTTTTCCTTCGTAATTAGAGTGCTGTGATTACTCCTCAATTGAATAGTTGTGTTCCCAGTCGTTATCTTGATTTCCTAAAGTTGATCATATAATATTGACTGTATTTTTTACTTAGTATAGTGTTGGAATTTTGAGAGAAAAAATGGCACTCTTAGTTTTCTAATGTTATTTGCCTGGAATATTCATTGATTGACCGATTTGGAAATTAGATCATTTATAGATCATTTATGGCCACTTTTAAAAATAATTGTTTCTTTTTTTCTCTCTCTCTCTTTTGGAATAGTCCAGCTTCATCAGAATATGACCACAATTACCAACTTTTTTTTTTAATTTTTGGTGCTTCTGTGTATATTCCTGGGTAATTGAGGATTATAGTCTTTGGTCACTAGCTATGCGGTACTTAAAGTTTTGGTATTTGATTCTTTTTGCTAAAAGATAACAAACAAAAAAATCTTTGAGTTATGTGACAATCTTTTTTTTTTTTTTTTAATGAACCTTGTTCATATGTATTTTCACCAAGGCTATTAATAGGTAGCAAAAGTGATGTAGAGCTAAGCACATTTTGATAACAATGATGGTCAAGGAGTAAAAATAGAGATAATTATTGAATATTTCATGAGCATGTATTGGAGCATTGTTTGTATTTTTGCTTCAGTTTATTTAAATATTTCTAAGTCAGGATATTTTATTGATACGTTTGTTTGATAAAGGCTTTAGTAGAGCTTGAGAGAAAAGATGACCAGTCAGTTCCAACCTTAAAAACAGTTCTTTGGAAAATTGAACTAATTTCTGTTCAAACTTAATAACTTAGTACAACTTGGAGATGATTACAAAGCTGGAGGTCAACATCATGTAGAAAAATTTTAATCCCCTAAGGGAAAAATATAGGTGGTTCTTTTTATTTTTATATTAGAAACTATTTACCTAAGCGCTTGTTTTTATTATTTAACATTTTTTGTTGTTTAATTTTGATAAACTGAGATGTGAAAGAGAATACTGAAATGCCAAATTTGGTTAAGACTTCAGTAGTTGGGGAGGAAGGCAGCAAACCACACTGCCATGTGTGTACCTATGCAACAATCTTGCATGTTCTTTACATGTACCCCCAAAACCTAAAATGCAATTTTCTATATATATATATATATATATATGTGTATATATATGTGTGTATATATATATGTGTATATATATGTGTGTATATATATATATGCATATATATATGTATATACATATATATATGTATAAAAGACTTCAGTAGTTTATTAACAATAACAGACACCTAGCTAAAGTTACCTTTATTTCATTAAGCCTAGAAAGTTATTTTTTTCTATGACATTTTTAAGATCATGTTATACTTCCAGTAATTTATAATTACCTGTATGGTTCTTTATTCTTTTGGAAAGATGCTTATATAAAATGTCAAAGGCTTTTTATAGGTATTAGGAATGCTTGCTTTTGGATGTAGAAATAGAAAAAGCAGAAGATACAGGAATGGAATAGTTCAATGGTATGGTCCTCTGAATATTTTTTGGTGAAATATTTTATTTGGAGATTATACCATACGTTATTAGTTGTCCCAAAAAAATACTTGAGTGAAATGAAGTCATCTAATAGTTTTTTATTGGTTATTTTTATCCTAAATTAAAGTGAACTTGTATTGCCACAAAAAGGGATGCTGCCTTTTTGTCAGTGTAATAGTATGGTACTTATGAAGAAAACAGTTTTTTCATTTGGGGTTATTTATTCAATGTAATTTTTTGACTACTGTACATTAAGCCTAGCTCATCTTATAAAAATAGAGGTAACATTTCAATTTTCAATAACATTTTAATTTCTTTGCCTGCATTCTTGGATGAATGTTTATTTGACAGTACAAAATCTTCTCTGTGTGGGCCGAGTATGTATGTTTTAATTTAGAACTAAGCTGTTAAGAAGACACTGAGTGAGTTTCTTTTGTTTTACGAGCCATTTTGATTAGATTTTCTTTTATGTTTACTTAAACAAATAAGAATTTTATTCGAGTGCCATGTCTAATGCCTTAAGTAGGTTTCTCTGGAAAAATAAGACAATATTAAGAAAGCTGTAATAATTTTACTTTAACTATAAAGACATTTTTAAACTTGCAGGTTTTAATCATTTTGGTATTCATAGACACCCAGTAATTGTGTCCAAAAGTAGCAATAAGTAATTTATAATATTATGAAAGTAATTTCTCCTAAAATTGAGCATAGTGTAGCATGTCACTCATTAAACTTTAAAAAAAATTAAACATTGATGAATATATGATGTACTGAATGTTAGGTGCTACTGCTTTATCTTTCTGGGTTATGTCAGAAGACTAATTTCTTTTAAGATTAGTTAAATCCCTAATGTAGGCTGTAATTGCCTAGAAACTTTTTACTTGTTTGCATTGTTGTGAGCAATTAGGGATGTTTTATCATTCTAATAGGATAGGGGTACTACTTTTATCTTAAACTTTACAATTTGGAGTACCTTCACATACATTATTCATTCATGATGTAGTCAGAATTACTACTTCCTTTGTCACACACATAATAAAACAGCAGAAACATGCCTTAGGAGCTTATAGTTTGCAAAGACAGCAGGATGAGAAACCCCAGGAACATAAACTATATTTAGAATATTAGAGTGGAGGAAAAGATAGGAGTCTGAAGTAGGAATGTGATTAATGTTGGTGGCTATAGTTTTTCACTGTTGTTTCTTTCTCAGATGAAGAAAGCTGGTTATTTATCAACTTTTATGTAAAGGAGGTTACAAGGTTATCGGGGTAGATTTTTGTTCACATGGGAAGTAGAAAGATAGGAAGGCCAATAAAAGACATGACAGCCCTTTTACTGTTCCCAGTCCTGTGTTCTGGAACGTTCTCACAAGAAGGGCGACCTAAAGAATTTGAGTTGTTTCTACTTCCATTCTGAAGTGAAGCACATGGAACTCTCAAATTATTCCTCTCCTGAACAAATGTTGGTTGGTGTTAAAATTGGCAGGTTACCAGAAAGAATTTATCTTTGGATTGTATTTTGATATTGACAGTTGTATCTCTGTAGGTGGTAAGAGAAGGGAGGGCATTGTAGTGGGGAAGTCATAGGACACTGAACTGTGGTCTTGACCTTCTTAACGACACTGTAGCTCAGTCTTCACATCTTTAAATGAGGCTACCTGGAAAAGGGAACCTCTAAATTCCATTTCTAAATTTCTTTGAATTTTATACTGTTTTGGGATTTGTAATATTCTGGAAAACAAGGAACTCACAGTCCTAAGAAGAGATGATGTGGGAAATATGGAAAGCTAGCTTTTCTTGTAAGACAGAGTCTGTTCTGTCTCCCAGACTGGAGTGCAGTGGCATGATCTCGGTTTACTGCAGTCTCTGCCTCCCGGGTTCAAGGAGTTGAAGCCATTCTCCTGCCTCACCCTCCCGAATAGCTGGGACTACAGGCATGCACCACCATGCCCAGCTAATTTTTTGTGTTAGCCAGGATGGTCTCTATCTCCAGACCTCGTGATCCACCCACCTCTGCCTCCCAAAGTGCTGGGATTACAGGTGGTGTGAGCCACCTCACCTTGCCAGAAAGCTAGCTTTTCTATCCTGCTTAACTGTTTATCCTCTCTCTTTAAGATTTGAATAGACAACCACAGATAAGTCTGAAGTATGTAGTACCAGAGTTATGTGTACTTTCTTTTGCTGCTTTTTGCGCTTACGTTTCCTTGTAAAATGTTTGTATACATATCTTGTAGACAGATGGTATTGCTAATATCAGCAAAGGACTTGATCAGAATAAGAGTTGTATAGGTTTGCGTTAGATAATCTGTTTATTTTATATAATTTAAAATCGGTTTTTTAATACAGGTTTGCAGCTAGATAACAAAATATGTAATATATGGGAATGTATTTTCCTTTACATCCATTTGGCCAAAAAAAAAAAAAAAAAGGTAAAATATGAAAAATCTTATTTATTTATTTTTTTGAGAAGGGTCTCACTCTGTCGCCAGGTTGGAGTGCAGTGGCTGCATCATGAAACACTGCAGCCTTGACCTCCTGGGCTTAAGTGACCCTCCCACTTCAGCCTCACGAGTGGCTGGGACCACAAGTTTGTGCTACCATGCCTGGCTAATTTTATCTATTTATTTATTTTGTTAGTTAGTTAGTTTTAGAGACAGGGTTTCCCTATGTTACCCAGCCTGATTTTGAACTTCTGCCTTGGTCCCCCAAAATGTTGGGATTACAGAAATGAGCCATGGTGCCCGGCCAAAAATCTTTATGTTTAAATATATTTAATACTTTTTTTCTGAGTAAAGTAATTTTTCTATGTACCCTAAGCTAGCCAGCTTCTTAATTATATTACTGTGTGTTTGTGTGTGTAAATACATACACAGAGTTTGAGTTTGATTATTGAATTTCCGTATTGTTTTTATAGTTTAATTCATGCTATTTATCTTTATGAAGAATGCTGAAAATTAACATGAGTGAATTTTATAACTTATAAAGTGTGACTTTAAGTATTCCTTATTCTTACTAGAAACAAATAACTTAGCCCATAAAGCACAGAAGAAAACCTTATACATTTGACTTATAAAGCTTTCTGCTTACTCCTTGAAAATTCTGCTTAATGATTCTATAATGACAGGTCATGGTAGCTTACTATGGATGTGTCATTCATTATTCCTTTTTGATTCAAAGCTTTAAGCTGGTTAACTTAGAGTGCCAAGCAAATCTTAAGGCTCTTTGAATAGTAAGAAACTTTGTTCTGATTATTTAAAGGTCATTGCAATACTGGGGATCAAAACAAATTTGCAGGGTATAAAATAGTATGCAAATTTTGTGAGGTTATGTTTTCATACTGCTTTTTTTTAACTTCTATGTTGGAAAATTGAATTTTTTCTTAAATATGCACATAGAGAATGAGGTTTTGTTTCAATATCTGCAATAGCTGGATCTAATGTATGCTAATTCCAAACTTA